ATCTGAATTCTTGATATGAGCCAATATGTATTTTGAATTGACTTCTGAATTAATAACTCCTCATTTGATTGATGTTATGAGTTGAATCTTGAGATATAAATATGTTTGCTTGATTATGATTATGAACCTATGGTATATCAGTCAGAATACCCATGCTAATAAGGTAGTGTTAGTTTTTGTGCACATCGTATCTAAACCCTAGTTGGTTGGGGGAGTCACCAACTTGTGTGGACTGATCATCTCACAATACGGAGCCTCATGCTCATTGCATTTTGATTTTCTGACGAGTTTTACCATATGATATTCTTGTTATGGCTTATTTGAGAAACCTTTTTATAAGAACCTAGAGCCATATTTTTGTATATATTTGTCATTGTTGTATTACCTCGTGTGTGTATATTGAATATCTACTCACTGAGTTGTTGAACTCACACTCTCATTATTTATCATTTTCAGGCTTATAGATTGATAGCAGGTCATTTTTGTTGGACCTTCAGAACCTGCTCTTTTGGTTGTAAATTTATATTTTTTTTTTATGTCTAGTTAGTGCTCCAAAACTATAAAATTATATTAACTTTTGTATTAAGACAATTCAATTATATTATGAAGTTGATTTTGTTATTAATGTTGCGTTAAACTTTGATTGAGTTAGGATAAGTTTGGGTTCGTATAGGTATGGAACTTTGGAGGGAAACCTTATCTATGTGTCAGTCATGGATCCGAGATTCGGGTCATGACAATTACATAAATAATAAAAACTAAAGGTATTATAGAGTCAATATTTTATGACAGAAAAAATATTTTATGACAGAAAAAAATTAGTAAGATACTTGATATATATCATTACTAATAAAAAAATAATTAGATAACAATTCAATGAAATTAAATAGCAAAATATAATATATATATATATATATATATATATATATATTCAGTAATAGGGCAAGCAAATTATGTAATAGTGATTACATGTCATGAAAGAACATAGTTAATTACTTATATTTTTAAATTATTGATTACTCAATAATTTTTATAATTATAATTTCTTAAATTACTAATCTTTGTGGAAAAGGAGAATAGAGGCTCGAGCTTTAGGCTTCTTGAAGGAGGTAAATATGTGCTGAGTAATAATATTTTGATGGTGTCTGATAAAGAAACAAGGGATAAGGGATTTGGAACCTGTCTTGGATTGTTCGAAGCCACTACTGCTTTGCAATCCTGTTATTTACACTAACCAAATCCTTCAATTTTTTCAAGTTTTCGAAGCACTAGTGGTTCATGTAAATGCAGCGCTACAGTGATGTAACAAATTTCACTTTAGTCTTTGATGTTTTCGTTTTCTTACTTCTTAGTCCTTCAAATTTTGTTCTATTTCGATCCTCAAACTTTGTTTTCATCACTTTTCAGCCCTTGAATTTTAAGACTAGAGAAAGAAAGTGGCCTAAAAAAATAGTGAGAGGGGAGAAAATTTTGTCAAAACATTCTAGTTATACAAAACCTGATGTCAATGGACTAATCTTGAAAATAAAAGTTTATTGGTGGCGGTTTTTGTCCATCAATTATTTTTGATAAATTAGAATTTGCAAAAAAAAATTAGATTTGGTTTGATTTTTTTTATTTTGGAGTTATTTTAAAGTGTTCAAACACTTTTAATGCTTTTTAGCTTCAAGAAAAAATTAATTGTTAAGTAAAAAGTCAAAGTATATGTTTAACATGTAAATAAATATTTAAAAGAGTTATTTTCACTACTTAAAAACTAAATTGAAAAGCCGAGAAATAGATAATAATCCTATATCGCAAGGAGGCATTCAATTTTTTATTTATTTAAATATTTATTGATAAAAAAATTTGTAAGAAAACTAAGAATTTAAATTTCATCAAAATAAAATAATTCGTGTAATTCTTTCTTTTCTTATTATTCTACTTTCCTCCACAAAAATATAGTTTTTTTGTGCTATGTGTTTTATTTGATAAAGACCAAAAGTAATTAGAATAAATACCAAAACAATTCTTGACAATTTAAAATAAAGATAAAAAAGCATCTTCCAAATCATATTAATGATTTGGTTTCTTTATCTTATTAATGCACTTTCATTTTTATTTTATTTTTTTTATTTAGTATTATTAACATTAAAAATATTATTATTTTTATCATAAATATTATTATTTTTATTATAATTAATATTATTAATATAATAATTAATAAATTTGAAAAATTATTATTAATATTGAAAAAAACCATAAATTTGATTTGAATGAATTAAAAGCTATAAAAACTTAGGTCAAATGAGTTTATTATTGTTATTATTATTGCAAGTGATTAGTACTTAAAAGTGCATTTTTATCATGGTTTTATATCATCATTTTACACTTGAAGTATCAATAACTCCTTAACTAAAATATGTTTTATAATAATGTATCTAATAATATAAGATACCTATAATTTGTGGTAAATGTCTATTTTTAATGCAGGCCTATCAAATAAATGAAAGGATTGATTGATGACTTGAACTTAAATTGCAAGGATAAAGAGATGGCCAAACTTAGAAAAGAGATGTCGGTGCAATCCAAACCGGAACACTGTTCGGTAATTGGGTCATATCTGGAGCTACAGATCTCAGATTTAGGTCCAATTTATATGGATGGAAAGGTAAGACATAGGCCTACAACTTTCATATGGAGCCCAAGATCTAAAAAGGCCATTATCAAGTCCAAATTGTAGCAACAACAAAGAAGCCCGAATCTGTCTTCCAGCCCGAGCACTGTTCGGTATTTTGGCCATATCTGGAGTTCTAGAAGTCCAAATGAGCTGAAATTTTTACACAAGAAAGCTGAGACAATTGCCTACAACTTTCATGTTTGCAACTGGCTCCAATTTTGACGTTATCAATGACGTTTTGGGCAGACAAGAGAAGATAAAGATTGTCACCAAGTCAAAAGTTGGCCACCCACTATCAAAAAACATATATTTGATTTGAAGGGCAAAATCAATTGTTGTTGTTATTGTTATTATTAGATTTGGTTAGAACACTAGATTTAGGTAATGTGAGTCTGGTAGGGGTGTCAAACCCAAGTGAAGACATCAATATTTTAGTCGTGTCAGCAAGTTTATTATTACTATTATTATTAAATTTGAAAAAAAAATATTATTACTATCGAAGAAAAACCATAAATTTTATTTGAAAATGATATAAACTATAAAAACTTAGGTCAAAAAAGTTTAATAATAATATTATTATTAATATTATAAATAGTATTAAATTTGAAATAAATATTATTATTATAAAAAAAATTAAAATTAATTTAAAAAGTAAAATCAATTATTATTGTTATTATTGTCGTTATTAACTAGAGTCTGGTATCCATTTGCAAACCTAAGTAATTTGGGACTGAAAAGGACCCAAGTTACTTTAAAGGGACAAGGACATTAGACCTAAGTCATTTGGGTCCTGCAGCTTCACCTAGACCAAGACTCTAGAGTTCGAACCCAAGACTCTTAGATTTAGCATTTAAGAGAGGTTCAAAGCTCTTGAGTCTGGCAATAACACCAGACTCACTTAAATTTAGATCAGGAAAGTTTAAAATTATTATTAATATTAATATTATTAATATGATAATTAATAAATTTGAAAAACTTATCATTATCATTAATAAATTTGAAAAAAAAATTATTAGTATTGAAGAAAAATCATAAATTTGATTTAAAGGGGTTAAAAATCATATGAATTAACTTGGGTAAGATGAGTTTAATAATAATAATAATAATAAATTTGAAAAAAAATATTATTAATATCAAAGAAAAACAATAAATTTTATTTGAAGAGATTAAAAACTATAAAAAGTTGGATCAGATAAATTTAATATTATTATTATTATTATTATAAATATTTATATTCATTATTATTATTAAATTTTTAAAAAAACATTATTACTATCAAAAAACATATATTTGATTTGAAGGGAAAAATCAATTGTTGTTGTTATTGTTGTTATTAGATTTGGTTAGAACACTAGATCTAGGTAATGTGAGTTTGGTAGGGGCGTCAAACCCAAGTTTATAATAATTATTATTATTATTATTATTATTATTAAATATTTTTTAAAAAATATTATTACTATTAAAGAAAAATCATAAATTTGATTTCAAAAAATAAAAACCTATAAAAACTTGGGTTTAACAAGTTTATTATTATTATTGTTGTTGTTAAAAATATTATTACTTGTATTATAAATAGTATGATTGAATTTGATGTTACAATTAGATTTTGATCCAAGATTTTTGGATCTGATATTAAAGTTAAAATCAATATTTTTAGATATAAATTTATAGCTAAACTCAACACCCTTAAATTTTTATTTTTTTAATATTTTTATATAAAAAATTAGCCCGCTGCATTAACTTCCTAACTAATATTTATATTTCATCAAATGGTGAATGATGCTGCAGCAATATTTTCCAAAAGTGATAGGTTTTTTTTTTTTTTCTTCAAGGGAGTTGGTATTTATATTTCAAATGAAAACATAAAAACGTTATTAAAATCATGATTTTACCGAGTTAAACTAATTTCAATTGTATCGTATTAGTTTTTGAGTTTTTAAAACGATTTTACATTATATATATATATATAGACACACGCACACACACACCCACTGACATATAAATTCAATCTTCTCAATTCTAACAACATTGTATGGAGTCTAAAAACAACAGATTTCTGCGGACGGTTTTGGTCTGTGATTAGTAAAAGGAAAAATTAAATGGACCGTTTTAAAGTAAACCTCGTGTGTCGAGGCCAAATGGAAGTGGCTAGAGACTTCAACTATGGAAGCGAAAGTTCTGGAAAAATCAACCCACGAGGCCCACGAAACTCGAGACTTGGCATTTATCACGACTCGCATGAAGCTTCTTGCAAGTTTCCTCGACCATTATTTCACCAGAAAAAGTTTGCTTTCTTCGTGTTTTTCCCCTGTAAAGAAAGCCCATGGGGCCTCTATATATACACACACACAATCTCTCCTATCTTAACGTTAGGTCACCAATACCTGCAGGCTAGTATGTTGGCAGAATAAAAATAGCATCTCATCTTCTTTTGTGCTATTCGGTGATTCTTGAGTTGGGTGCATCATGTGTCTCCTTAAAACAAATGACTTGCACCGGATTTTCCTAGAACTCGACAGAAATGGTGATGGTCTCTTGAGTGCAGTGGAGCTCAATTGGCTTCTTGAAAGCATCGGAGGAGTCCATTTTAGTCTGGAGGAGCTTGAGTCTTCGGTGGGGAAGTCATGCCTCAACTTTGATGAGTTCTTGTTATTCTACGACTCCATAACAAAGCAAAGCGGCGGCGGAGACAGCGAGGCAGTACTAGCAGATGATCAGGAGGGCTGCAACAGGGAGGACTGTGACCTTGTTAAGGCATTTAAGGTGTTTGATTCTGACGGCGACGGATTCATTTCTATCGAGGAGCTTCAAAGCATGCTGTCACGACTTGGACTATGGGATGAGACGACTGGCAAGGATTGTAGAAGTATGATTTGTAGATATGATACAAACTTAGATGGGGTTCTTGATTTTGAGGAATTCAAGAAGATGATGCTTCATTCCAGTTCTTAATTAATTAATCATTTTTGGGGCAGTAGTCTAGGACTCTAGAGGTTTGGATTTTTACCTTAGGTTTGAATTCGTGATGGTCGGCCTCTTAGACCTCACTGGCTGTCGATCTTGTAGGCCAACTTTTAATGCTATATGTATCGCTTTCATGCTGGTTGAATGTAGTTGTTATGGTACATCTATGTATGTACAGCAGAATTTTCAGGGAGTTATATCAGAACCGATTTCCGGTTGCCACACTTTGTCGTTTAATGTAGGATTTTATTTTTTGAAAAAATAGATATTTTTTAATTAATTCTTTTTTATTTTGTATTATTATACTTTTCTAGATTTTTTTTCCTATTTAAAGAGAATATTTTTCTTATTTTATTATAATTAGTATTTTCGAGTTTTTTTTTTATATAAAGGGTTGTAATAATCCTTTTATATATAAAGACACGAATAAATAAAATTAAATATTTTGATAATTTTTAACGGTTTTGATTTGTAATAAATCTTGTTATCCTTTGTTTTTATTTGCATCAGCTGATATCAAAGCATAATAATTCCTAATGATTTTGATTGGAGGTCATAGAGTACTTGTTTTAAAACTTACCTTGTGTAAATATAGGGCTAAAGATAGTAATAACTCAATAAAACCTTGTCCTCAACCAACAAAACCAATCTGAAACACAACTTTACACCCCATGGTACAACTACCATGTACCACCTCTTTTCTACTTGTACAACACTTTACATTACACTTACACTTCATTTCAGCCAGAAACAACCATTAAGGATCACCATATACGCCATTAACGCCATTGTTTCTCCTCTCATGTAGTTCATGGAACCAGCCACATCAGCAATAACAACATGGGCAACTCAAAGCCAAATAACATTTTCTCCTTCCACCCTTAACATTTTCTCCTTCCACCCTCCTCATGTTATGTGATTTTTAAGACTAATGCTAGTTGCTTGCATGGTAATACAAAGAAGAAAGAAGGGGAAGTGTTGAGGATGCATGAGACAAGAAATGTCATTATTAACAACATTTTATATGCTATATGATGGCTCTTGAGCTGAGTTGAATAAGAAATAATATGGATTGGGTTTTTTATTTGGCATAATCTGTATAGATGGGCTAGGTTTTTTCTCTGTTACCGTGCAAGCAACTAGTATTAATCCTAAACATCACATAACATGATGAGGGTGAAAGGAGGAAATGTTATCTAGCTTTAAGTTGCCCTTGCAATTGTTGTTGCTAGTATTGTTGGTACCGTGAATCAAAAGTTGTGTATGCCATGACAAAGGTTATAGAGAATAAAGAGATTGTCAGGTTATGGTAAAGGTAATTAAGACGAGTATATGAATTATTAATTTATATCTTTCATAAGGTAAGGTATTGGAAATTACCCAACATTTTTGTAAGGGATATGATGTGTTTACTATTAAGTTTTATTATAGAGAATTACATGTGAATGTTGTGTTTTGCAAGAATTCATCATATATCAGACTAGCTGAGAAACGAAGATTAATGCATGGCTAGTTTTTTTTTATATAAAATTTTTGTATTATGACAAATGTACTAGTTAATTATATTTATTGACATGGATAAGGTATAATGTTGATGTCATAAATAGAATATAGATATGTTATTAATTATATCGTGAAGGTGAATTATTTACTCAAGGAAAAGTTATATATAATTTGTTAAATGCATTTTCTTTTAGTAGATGATATGTTTGATTGATACTGCTAAAAGTGTTATTTATTCAATTGAGTGGCCTAAAGCCTGTTCTTAAATATGAATTGTTTGTGAATGAGATTAGAACTTTCCATTGATTATTATACAAGTTATTAGGAGAAAAAAAGAACTATTTAGTGACTCGAAAAAAGAAAACTCTACTAAATTTTTATCTACATTATATTATTGAAAGGTTAAGACTTGAATATGATTACATGGTTAGATTACCAATGAAAACAAATTACCCTGTTTTCCTGATATCAATGCTCAAATGTCTTAAAAATTTAAGATTGTTATGATTTTTGCTGATTAATTGTTCTATATTGTTGAATAATTATAACAGAAAAAAATCACAGAACATTATGTGCTTGTGTAGGTAAGGATGATAAGGTCCCTTTAAAAAAGAAATGTCCAAGAACCAGCTATTGTTTTTGTTTGTGTTAGTTGCTATCATTGGAAATACTGGTAGCGAGACTTACAATAGAGTGACTTACTTAAAGGTCTTTTGTTAGGAATTTATGATGGAGCAGCTCACACAAAAACATTGAGTTAGGGACTCATGATAGGGTAGTCTGCATAAAAATGTTAGGAAATCATGATAAAATAAACCACACATAAAAGGATATTTGTGGTGAATGACGGTTTTCGACTGAGGTTTGAACTCGATGAGAGTTTCTTTTAACCTAGAGAGACTGATTCAGGAGATTTTTAGGGAAAATAAATATTTTTCTCCATTAATTTTATTTTTTTCAATTTTTATTTTATATTATTATGCTTTTCTAGTTTTTATTTAATAGTATTAGAGTTTTTTAGTTTTTTAATATAAAAAATTATAATAAATTCTTAATAAGTTGAAATATAAATAAATAAAATTAAGTGTTTTGAGATTTGATGTCTGCAATTTATATATACCATGAAGTCATTAAATTTTTCATTCGTATCTAGAAAGTTTAACAAATATTGTAATATTTTTATTTTATTTTATTTTTAATTGTAAAAAAGTTCTACTTTAAAAAATGACCAAATAATATTCATACATGAGATAGAGAATTCTAGATCCAATATTTATAATATTTTTCATGTTATAACTAATGAAGCATATTCTTCGTTGACTCGCTTAACACATTGAAACCAATATTTATTAAATTATTCTTAATGTAGTAGATAAATATAGAATAAGGGCAAAAACAAAAGGCTTTTAATTTACTAACGTCACTCATGGGAGTTTCCGAGAAAACACCCAGGACAGAAAATCGTACAACCGTACAAGTCAATGTCCTTTTATCGCGTTATTAAATTATTCCGTTGAAGAAAAGATCCAATTTCCTCCCAAGAAAAAAAAAAATTAATATTATAACTGTCAATGCCACGGGTGGCCAGCGGACGTACGCGGGTGGCTCGGAAAGAGCAAGGCAAATTACTCCAATATTTACGTGGTCCAGTCACATTCATTCGTTCAATTAAAATGGAACAAATGGTAACAACATAAGATTAAGAGGTTTGTTATCTGTGGTTTCATATTCGAGTTTTTGGTTACTTATATGATGGTCACTGAAGTTTTATATGATTGTTAATTTTAGGACCCGTGGGATTAGTCGTGGTGTACGCAAACTGGCTCGGACACCCATGTTAATCTAAAAAAAAATAGACTGATGCATGCATGGCAATTTGACTCCACCCGTTGATCTCTTAAATTCTGAAGTCAGGTTTTATACAATCTGATTATTTTTTAAAATATTTTTTTATATTAAAAAAATTTAAAAAAATTATTTTTAAAATTAATACAATAAAATAAAATGATTCAAAATATATAAAAAATTAATTTTTAATAAAAATTATATAATTTGAAGTTTTTAAAAATACAATTTATACTGTATTTCTAAAAAAATCACTTTGTTTTTAGTCAATTGTATCGGAAAGGAGTATGAGTGGATTTGAATTGAATTTCAAATTGCATTTTATAAAAATTTGATTTTTTATTTAAAAGTTATAATTTTAATATTTTCAAATTGTTTTGATGTAATGATGATAAAGATACTTTTTAAAAAATAAAAAATATTATTTTTATTTATTTATAAAAAAATATTTTAATAAACAACCACTATTATATTTTTAATGATTCCGCATGTTTGATAAATATTTGTTTTTCACCATATATGTATTTTTCAAATTATTCACTTTGCCATTTTTCTTTGGAACATGGTAAATCCATGTGAATAACGCAGCAGCTCCTGCGTAACAAAACGCACAGCAGCTAATTAAAATATATTATTAAAAAAATATTATTTTATCTCCATGACTTTTCTCAATACTCTTATTAAAAAATTCCCAAAAGTGTTAACATTAAGCATATTAAAATATAAACGGGTTGTTGAAATGATTTTTTTAGTCCAAAAAATATATTTATTCTATTTAAAAAAATATATATCAACAATCCGACTTTCCCAAATGATTTTTTCGTCGCACAGAAACTGCTGGGAAGTGAGAAATAATAATAGAGAGTGATGTACTCTTTTTTTCTAAACTAAACCAAATAATAATAATAATAATAATTCATAAATCAAAAGCGTGTTAAGGTCTCTGGATTCCCATTCTCAAAAAAAATAAAAAATAAAAAGAATCGTATAATATGTTCCAGCAGTAGCATTTACAAAAGCTCTGGCAATGTTCTCTCTCTTTCGGAGCCACGCACACACGCAGCTCCTTCTATCCCAGAACAAGGATTCTCGTGGCCATGTCCCCTGGAAAGCAAATCCACTCACAAGCTTCGCAGTCGAAGCTCTCTTTGAAAATTCCCAGAAAAAAAGAAGAAAAGGATCATGATCGTTGAGCAAAACAGAGTACTGTGTTGTGATCTGCGAAACTTCCACATGCAGTTATTAGCAGGCCAGGGAGGAAAATTCAAAGTCAATTTGATTTACTTTTATACTAACCAGACTCGTTGTTTGTGAATTATGCTTATGGTGATGATTGAACTCCAGTTTCCTTCCACGTCGTTGTCTCAATGGTTGCGTCAAAGTATTTTGGGGGGTGCCGATTGATCAAAGTATAATAATTTCGTTGAAACTGATTAATTGAATGAGAAAATGAACACTTGCAGTTTGATAAATCCAGCAGGCCTTGCCATGAACGAAGTGTCAGCGAAATTATATATTACTACCAACCAAGAGAGCCGGCAAAGATTCATAATTCTTTGGATCATCAAACCTTGGAGTTATTCAAGATGCTTTATAAAATTTGATACATACAATAAAATTTTAAGATTTTTCAAGAGTACATTAATTGAGTCTTAACTAAATACATAGCACACAATCCAGGGTGAAATTTTTTATATAAAAAAAGAAATAAAAAAAATATTCATATTATAGGTAATAGACTCGTTTGAATCTAATAAGATGGCTTCATCTAATAATATGATATAGAGAAAAAAAATAACATCAATAAATAAATGCATTAAAAATATAAAAAACAATTATGATGACCTACATAAAAATAAATCTTCTCAAAAGAAAAATAATTTACAAAATTTAATCTCTGGATAACCTAGTGTCAAACAATAAAATTTAAAAAAAATTAAAAAAACAACAAAAAAGAGGATCCAAATCAACCTGAGTTAACATATCAAACCTGCAATCTTAGTCATGAGGCCTGGATAATTACATAGAAACAAATTATAATGTCTAATTTCTAACAATTTAAATGTAGAATGATGAAATTAAAAAAATAATTAATAAATAAAAATGATGCACCAAAAATACCAAGCAAGATTGTTAAACCCCATGAGCTAGATCATAAAAGGAAAACCAGGAAAAGCTATGATGCTTAATTTTCAAATTAATTTAATATCAAAGGATGTAAATAAAAAAATATTCAATTTCAAAAAACAATTCAAAAAAGATCTGAGTCACCTAAGCTAACCCACCAAACCCACAACTTAGGTTATTATACTTAGAAAAGAAAATAAAAACAATCACAAAACTCATTTTTCAATAAATCTAATATTGAAAGATAAAACTGAAAAAAAATTCATTGTAAAAAAATATTAACTTAAGTTAACATTTTAAACTCGTGACTAAGTTCATAAAATTATGATTGGTCCATAAAAAAAAATTATAAAGCCTAATTTTTAATAAAATTAATGTTAAATGATGAAATTAAAAAAATAATTTAAAAAAAAACTTAAATTTTTTTTTAAGAAATAGAATGGTAAGACAAAAAAAAAATTCGTAAGAATGTACAAATTTTGAGGAGAGAAAAGAAAGGGAAAAGGGCCAATAAAAATAAAAATGACCTCCAAGCATCACCAATTATCACATATGCCCCATCATCGGGAAGATCTCTTGTTTTTGGTAAGTCATCGGGAAGATCTCGCTATGACGTTTACAATGCAAGTGCGGATGATAGTGTTATGCCATTGGATAAAGACTCATGTGCTGCCAAAACATGATAGCAAACCTTAACATGTGTCAACTATTTTGCACTGCAAGTTTATCCTAGCCCACCATATTGTTCTTACTTTCAATTTTAGTTTCATAACACTTAATTGTTTTTCATGAATATAATTTTAGTTTATTGTCAAATCGAGCATCAATCGAGTGCTAGAATTTTCCCTCTACAGGCAATCATAACAAACTACTAAGTTAAATAAAAAATAATAATTTAAAATTGTTAAATTAGAAGACAAAGATTTAAGTGACCGGAAAAAAATATATTTTATTGACCATGCAAATTAATTCCTAATGCTAGCATGTAAAAGGGATTGAACAATTGCTTAATTTTTAATTTTGGTTACTGAATCTATAATTCTTGTAAATCAATGAAATTAAATTTAAGTGTGCTAAACCAAGCATTAATGCAAGGTTCCATAATGATAATCTTGAGTCATTATAATGTTAAAAGACCAAATTAAAGGAACAAAAAAAACTTAAGGACCAGGAAAAAAATATTTGCATTGAGTGAATCTACTATGAAAGTTCTCCCATGCCACAATAAAAGAATGATGTTTTTAGAGTTTTTTTTTTTAAAAAAAAATTAACATAGAAACTTTCATGGTAACAAATATATTTTTGCATTTACCAAACCAGCCCTGAGCTAATATAGGGTCTGGGATAGTTTAGACTAATTATCAAAATGGGCCTAATTCAGGATAGATTGGCGAATCCAAGGCCCGCCCTAGCAACAGCCGTCGAAGTTTCTTCCATCAAGTGGGTCTCTTTTCTGCAAATTGTCCACAACTTGCTTTTTTATTCCAATATATCTGTTCGTTTATTTTTGTTGTAGATAAGGACAGAATCAGGGCTAATTAGCTTTGCACATCCCTGTACTCCTAAAGTTTTCATAATATGGTCCTTTATTAATTAATTTTCTTAATCCAAACCTCCTACTTGAACAACATAACACTCTTTAATGGGAAACATATTAATGAAAGGACTTTTTTTTTTAATTTTTTCTAGGTTTTTTATGCTTTACATTTGTGGTGTGTTTGCTATCTCTAGATCCTTGGTGGTACGATTTTTAAAGTTTGTTTTTAAAATTTAAATTGTAAAATATAATTTTAAAATATAATTTATATGCAAATAAATTTATTCAAGTTATTTGTGAGAGCATAACCATTTAGGATTTGATTATTTGTTCTTGTGTAACACATTGACAAGTCTCGATTGATTTAGCTGAAACATTCACATGTTACTTTAGATTTAGTGATTGTTTGGTATTATAGTTATGGATGAGTTTCACCTACAACTATAATTTTTAACATTTGGCAATGCTTCTATCATAATTTTTTAATGACAGGTCCCACCATTAATTGTGGCATAGCCACATGTTACAAGAAACAACTCTTCTTGTGCTGGGAAAATGGATGAACAGATGCTCCATTGTTCATCCATTTTCTTTAATTTCATTGTTTCGGGCGAACCGATTTGGTTCAAAGCTAAAAATACATTGAATCAGATCTGACTCAACAAAATAAAAAAATATTTTTTATTTTTAATTATGTTTTATTTAAAAAATTATTGTTAAACATTATTCAATTACTATAGAAATTAGACAGAGATCACTTAATGACGTTGCATTTATAGAATTTAGTCGCAATCTTAATTTTATTCTTAATTATATTTTACCTGATGTTGTTGCTCTCTTAAGAAATTTATGAAAACTGTAGTTCTTGTCGGATATATTTCATACGTAATGGAATTATGGATAGTTTAATGGAACAATAAAAAATATTTTATATAAAGTATTATTTATTTCATGATATAATAGCAATAGTTAAATCTACAATATTTAAATAAGAGTTGTTCAATCTCAATATTTATTTTTTAACCAAACACATTAAATTATTTAATGTGTTTGGTTAAATCTACAATATTTATAAGCTATCAATATTAATATATATATTTTAAATTATTTATAAGCTCAATTTCAAAAGAATTATTAACCAAACACATTAAATTATTTTTTATTCAATCTCAATTTTAATCATAGTTTTAAACAAACACTTATTTTTTCAAATCAATCTCAGTTAAAAGAACTTTTTATAAAATAATTTTTTTCAAATCATAACCATAACAATTACTGCAGTATCAAACAGATTTAATTAATTTCTAGATCATTTTAAGAGTACATTTTCACATGCATTTAATATAACATCCATGGATATTGCTAATCTTAAAATTAAACATAGAAAGTTAAAAAATAGAGCAAACTTCTTGACTACCGGGCTAACCTCCGAGGGATATAAACCTATTTACTCATTGTTATAGATCAATACAGGGTGAAAAGTTCTTGTTTATTGTTATTTTACATATTGTTGGATCATACAATACATGTTACAGAAATAACAGGATGGGGCTGTTCTTATGATTTTCTTTATTTGAATATGTTTATATTTTTCAAAGCAGCGAGAGTGAGATGTGTATGTACTTAATTCAATTTTTTTTT